CCCCCCTTCCTTGTCCTAATCGTCTTCCCATTTCTTACGCACCCCTGCTTTACGCAAAATTCTTTCTACAAAATACTCATTTTCTAAATATTGCAATCCCGTTATCTGCACTTTATAGGAAATTGCATTGCAAAATTTTAGTTGTTCACCGATGTAAGAAGAGACTGTACAACGTTATTCTTATTGATTATGCATTTAGTGAACAGAGAAATTTGAATATAAGGGCAAATTGTAGGAAATAACCTTTACTAATTGAACAAAACTTTCCGTGATAGTTTTCTTACAAAACTAATGTACGATGGATCACGATATAGATGGTCAAAATCGATACTGGATATACAAAACGACGCTAACTGTTGTACCGTATTTATTTTAAATACATAGTAGTTTTAAACGAATTTTCGCGAGTTATCAAGGTAACCGGTACTCTTTGAAAAACCACCATTACGCAACTAATAAAAGATAACAAGAAAGGATCGTTAACGTTAAAATAACAGTTATATCCTCGAGCAAATGTATATCTCGTCCGAATTATCGTTTTATGGATGTGTAACGTATTAGCTAACTGCTTGTATTAAGGCTGCCACGAAAGATAGATGAATTCAATTACGAGATCACGATTAATCACTTGTCAATATAAGCAAGCCTTCTTCGATTGGTTGACAAATTTTTCGTCATCAAGATTTAAGCGATGAAAAAACTGTATTAATAAATAAGTACTCGAAGAGAATGTTATAGTTAGATTACATATAATCACGCGTATTTGTCTTGCACTTCCCGATAACGCGATTTTTCCAAACACTTACAAATCCGCAATCGAAACAAACATAGTGATGCATAAAACTAGTCAAGTAGAATCCTTTAGTATTCTATTAATGAAACCAAATTTGCGCATAGAGTTATAAATATTATACTTGTACAAAATAGTTTAGGATTTATTTTGTGCAATGATCGAAATAACGTTAAAGATACGATGAGATAGCTTTAAGTTAATGTCACGAGAATAATTTCGCAACATGAAAACAAGTGTGCAGTATGCGCGAACAAAAACTACGGGATTATCGTAGACGAAATGAGGAACGGAGTGATACGCGAGTCTATCGAGTGCATATTAATCTATGTACGTATACACACGAATATGTATATCGTCATACTACACTTGTTCGTGCACTCGCGTTTCCAAACTTCATCTCTCAACTCATCCAAAAATTTTTGTGCGAACGTACGTAACTTTACAATGGAAAAGTGCCAGCGACGTTGAATATACTGTGTGTAAATCGGTAATGAATCTGTAATTGAAGATAAAGTGTACGTTTGAATGTAAACAAATACGCATAATACAGCTCATTGGATGTATCTCTATAATCTAGTATATTTGAATGTATCTCTAATCTATAATAGAAAAGTATCGTAAGTTACTTATACCATTCACTTTGAAAGTTCGCACTCTGTTAAAAATCAAGAAACAGTGTGCGTTTTGTTTTCGAAACTACATAGATGCATCGTTGCCATTGATGCATCGTTTGAGCGAATACGAAATATTTTATTGAAAATTAATTAACCGTAAGACGTATTGAAAAGTTACAAATTCCGCGCGTAAATATTGCACACATCTATTCTGTATGAAAACATACATATTTTCCATAAATATCAAATCAGGTTCGTTAATTTACTTTGAAACTTTTAATAGATTACAGAGAGAAATAAATGACTTATAAAACTACCAATGCATATATATGTATATGTGCGTAATTATGTTTTAATGACTATCGCGTGTAATCGCAAGGGATATGTTTACTCAACGATAATTGAAAACAGACAGATAATCTCGTGCAATATAAGTACAAATGAAATGAAAAACTACCAAATTTTTATTTTTAGTGATTGATAACTATATTTTTTTTTAATATCACAGTTAATATCGAAGTTTAATCCACGAAAAATGTTAAATATATTAAATAATAAATAACTGACATACACTGACGACATGAAAACTCTAAAATCAGTTTCATTACATCATCATTCATTACATCGTATTGACTGTGTCTCCATCGTCTCCGTCGTCGTAAGTGCGTACGTACTGGCTTATTCTCACTTATTAACCTACAATCATACATTTTGCACCAATATGTTGTCATATTCGTTTTCCCGTTTTCCCATACTGTTAACCATTTTCTATTCATTTAATCGTTAAAAGATATCAATGAGTATCAGTCTACGCCGCGTCATTAATAATATATCCTCTTTAAAGTTTACAAAAAATTATAGTTTGATACTTTAGAATTTAGAATCTCGTCACGTCTGATAGCATCAATATCATAGTGTTGTAACAAGTAAATATTTTACGTAAACATTTACAGCAATTTGTGCAAGCGCGACAAGGTCGTTTATTTAAACGTTGTTAAACGTTCGATATCAGAAAGTCAAGTCGATCGACTTATATACATACATGACCTATGCGTATAAAACTTGGCAAGTATACATATGTCAGACAGGAACGTATAATATAACCTCTTTTCTCGAAGCTGTAAAAGGTAAGAAAACTAAAAGCAAAATATCGAAATGCAATAATCCACACCGTGTATCAATATGACCATTTCATTAAAATCATTATCACAAATTTCATTATGACAGCCAACGAGATAAATTATAAATATAAAAGAATGGCAAAATGTATATTCAACGTGTGTTTTTATTTCAGATGATGTTTTTTATTAATAAACTTTCCATTACTCAAAAATTGCTATCTATCCCTATTGCTGTTATTGGATATTATTTAGAAGGGTTTATATCCTGCCGTTATACACCTCCAACTGCACCAGTAATAGAGCAACGCGAAGAAAGATTATTAGCTAATATGAATTCTATGTCTGATGAAAAAAGTCATTCTCCGTTGGAAATTAATCTTCCACCCTCCTTGTCTGTATAATTATTTATATAATTTAAGTATGTATTAGGAAAGAATGTAATGCATAACATACTTTTATTCCAATGATTAGAACATAATAGTCAAAATACAATTGTATCATATACAGAGAATAAGTATTTCTTATGCTACTACTCCAAACTTGTATATAACAGTATGACGATAAAGCTGTCCAGGTTCAAGTATGCTATTTGGAAAATTTTTCTGTAAGTAATAAAGCAAAGACATTAACTTGAAATGATATATCCAAGTGTAGATTTAATTTGTTTACCATTTTTTAGTCATTTATAACTGAAAAATATCATTTGGCCTTAAACCTCTCATTCTCACACTTACTTGATTGACTGCATCCGGATAATTTTGTGTTTCTAAACAGAATGCACCATGTTTGAAGTATGTGGTTCCGTTTTTCCCCCTAATACCCGGGGTCTGGCGTTCGGGTAAAAAGTTGGCTGTATAAAATTGCACTCCAGGCTGATTCGAAAAAACTTGTAAATATCTTCCAGAAGTAGGATGTAAAACTTTGGCAACGAGGTTTCTTTCGTTTGCGGTATCGTTTACTCTTAAACAAAAATTATAATCGTATCCACCACCTGGTACTTTGTCAATGACATCTCCGAGTATGGTTGAGTTTCTCAAGTCCATCACGGTACCGAGGACCGATCGTATTTCTCCAGTAGGAATACTTTCTGTGTCAGTGACTGTCCAATGATCCGCATTTAAAGTAAACTGATGTTTGTATAGTTCGCTTGCGTTACCATTCTGAAATGTATCCAATTAAAACTAATTACAATGAAAATCAGAACATACGAAAAGAAACAAATCTTGTCATCGAAGGCATAAAACATGATAAATTTCTAAACTGATTGATTTACGGACATGACCAGCTAGATTGAAGTAACTATGATTAGTCAAGTTAATAGGAGTAGCTTTGGTGACGAAAACTTTCATCTCGATGCGTAACTCTCCATCGATGGTTAATTGAAAAGTGACCGAAGCTATTGCATCTCCAGGATAACCTTCGTCACCGTCCTCGCTTAGCAAAGAAAGTACAAGCTGGTTATACTGAATAGCGGCATTCCATATTTTCGAACTCCATCCTTTAAAGCCACCGTGAAGACTATTTTGTCCTGCATTCTTAGCTAAATGATACTTTTTCCCGTTCAATGTGAATTCTCCATTTTTTATACGGTTCGCGACTCTTCCTATCGTCGCACCAAAATACGGTTTATAAACCGTGGACAAGTAATCTACAAAAGAAATCGCTCGAAAGGAAAAAGAAAAGAATGAAAGAGTGAACAAATATGTATGTATATTATTTGAAATCAAAGGTTAATATTAAAATCCATTACGCGAATGAATCAAATATGTATACAAACGCAAAAAATTGCCCTATACCTTCTACTTTATCGAAACCTAAAACGACGTCTGCTATTCTTCCATCTTTGTCTGGAGTTCTAATAGATGTTATTGTTGCGCCGTACGTTACGATGTCCACCTCCTGACCCGCCTTATTTTTTAAAGTGTACTTCTCAATGCTTTGACCATCGACAGATCCCCATTTTGTACAAGATATTAATTGTTCACCATTCGAATCCATAATCGATCTAATCGGTACGGAAATTATGTGTACGAAACATCGATTGCAATATTTATATTTATATAATGCACGCACGCACGCACGCACGGAGGCTAAAGTTCGTCTTAATGGGAATAAAATTATTGCCATTTTTTGTTTTCTATCAGTGATAATTCTAATCATTCTCCGATTTCAATATTTATTTAAATTACCATAGAAAAGAACATTGCCAAGGCATAAACCGCCCACTCTACTATACGATAAGCTCCGATGGGAACAATTGTTATTGATATTAGTTAATAACAATTGTTCTTATCAGATCATAAATAAATTGCGTTTGTTACGTAAAAACCGAAGACATAAATAGACCGAAAGAAGACAGGAGAAACAAAATTGTAAAGCTAATTCCGATGTCCGGATGCTATTCTAAAATCGTGGAAATCATAATAGATTAAAGATTTCTCAATCTGTAATTAGTTCATTAAAATATAGTTATTTATTTCAAAATAACTTAATTAAAATAATTTATTCATTCAAGTTCGTGTTTCTTTCTGTATTCTTTCTAGATCATTCGTTAATTATTCAAGTTTGCTTAATCCAAAACTCATAAACAGTGGTAGAGTACTTTAGCACTCCACGGGCAACGATCCAGTCTGAAATTCCTCAAGTGTCTGAACGACCACGCAACACCATTTGATAGCTTTCAATGCTTAGAATCCGAAAACACAACTCTTAACTTTAGGAATTCAGTGAACGTTTTTAGAGTATTTGACAGCTTGCTTTGACGCTAACGAGACGAAGCAGTAAACGTAAACAAAATTTTGATTACCGTGACTGCAACCGTTTACATCTACTGCCATGTCTCGTTGGACAAGCTATATACATATGTACTACCTGGTATTACATATACATACAAACGTACATATATATATATATGTATAGTTAACGCATGCTCTTTAAAAAGAGAATGCGATTCAACATTATACAAATTATTTATAGTTTTTATATTCTTATCCTTAAAGTTAAAGGCAATTGTGATCTTACATAAATAACAAACAAGCTGTTATTGCCACACAACGAGAAAATTGCATGATGACAGCAGTATGGCAGCACTGTAACCAACTTATTCAACAAAGCACTAAAAATCTCTCTCTAAATGTCTCTCGTCACAATGTTCATATAAGTACACGTCGCGCGCACCTCCTATCTTTTTGTCATTGGATGATTATATTTTCTTTCATTGAGATTAAAAACAATTAAGATAAAATAAATGATCATATATTTATCTCTCAACTGGAACATACATACGTAACTTATATGATTCTGAAAGAAAAGAAAGAAAAGAAAGAAAAGAAAGAAAAGAAAGAAAAGAAAGAAAAAAGAATCAGGAAAAGAATTTATCTAATCTGTTTTGATTATGTGGTAAACCCGACCGATCGTAGTATATCTGCGATATCTTAACGTAAGAATTTTCTCTATCTACATGTTAAGATTCTAAAATCTTTTTAGTAAATAATTTCAATTTCCTTCGAGTATTCTCATTGCGTTCGTCATATTCGTCGAAACGGGGAAATAAAAACGAAATTTTTCGGATAGCCTAGTAGCCTGGACGGAACAAAATTTACGTGTCCTCTCGATATATCGAGTAACTTAATAGTGTGTTGTTATCATCGTTTGTTTTCGATGGCCTCATCAAAAATAAATTGTTATTCGAGATAACATGTATTTTGCTTTCTACATATTGAAATTGCAATTACAGGACAAAGTAGCGAAACGAGATAGAAAGGAGTTTTGTTCAAAAAAAGTTCACTTTTGAACTGAATTATAATATATATATATATATATATATATATATATATATATATATATATATATATATATATATATATATATATATATATATATATATATATATATATATATATATATATATATATATATATATATATATATATATATATATATATATATATATATATATATATATATATATATATATATATATATATATATATATATATATATATATATATATATATATATATATATATATATATATATATATATATATATATATATATATATATATATATATATATATATATATATATATATATATATATATATATATATATATATATATATATATATATATATATATATATATATATATATATATATATATATATATATATATATATATATATATATATATATATATATATATATATATATATATATATATATATATATATATATATATATTATAATTCAGTTCAAAAGTGAACTTTTTTTGAACAAAACTCCTTTCTATCTCGTTTCGCTACTTTGTCCTGTAATTGCAATTTCAATATGTAGAAAGCAAAATACATGTTATCTCGAATAACAATTTATTTTTGATGAGGCCATCGAAAACAAACGATGATAACAACACACTATTAAGTTACTCGATATATCGAGAGGACACGTAAATTTTGTTCCGTCCAGGCTACTAGGCTATCCGAAAAATTTCGTTTTTATTTCCCCGTTTCGACGAATATGACGAACGCAATGAGAATACTCGAAGGAAATTGAAATTATTTACTAAAAAGATTTTAGAATCTTAACATGTAGATAGAGAAAATTCTTACGTTAAGATATCGCAGATATACTACGATCGGTCGGGTTTACCACATAATCAAAACAGATTAGATAAATTCTTTTCCTGATTCTTTTTTCTTTCTTTTCTTTCTTTTCTTTCTTTTCTTTCTTTTCTTTCTTTTCTTTCTTTTCTTTCTTTTCTTTCTTTTCTTTCTTTTCTTTCTTTTCTTTCTTTTCTTTCTTTTCTTTCTTTTCTTTCTTTTCTTTCTTTTCTTTCTTTTCTTTCTTTTCTTTCTTTTCTTTCTTTTCTTTCTTTTCTTTCTTTTCTTTCTTTTCTTTCTTTTCTTTCTTTTCTTTCTTTTCTTTCTTTTCTTTCTTTTCTTTCTTTTCTTTCTTTTCTTTCTTTTCTTTCTTTTCTTTCTTTTCTTTCTTTTCTTTCTTTTCTTTCTTTTCTTTCTTTTCTTTCTTTTCTTTCTTTTCTTTCTTTTCTTTCTTTTCTTTCTTTTCTTTCTTTTCTTTCTTTTCTTTCTTTTCTTTCTTTTCTTTCTTTTCTTTCTTTTCTTTCTTTTCTTTCTTTTCTTTCTTTTCTTTCTTTTCTTTCTTTTCTTTCTTTTTTATATTATATATATATATATTATATATATATATATTATAATTCAGTTCAAAAGTATATATATATATATATATATATATCAACATTTAAGTGTATTTACATGTACGTACATATATGTTGTTGCAACAGTTTGACGAACGAATTTGCTTAGATATACACAGATAGAGTTCGTTTTTGTTTCGACTTTTTTTCTTTGTGTTTCATGTGATAAATACATATGCATGTATAACAGAAACACTAATATATACCTTTTGGCTGTATACGATGCAGCGTGCTGACAATAACGTTTCGAAATTTCGAAATTATATTAATTCAAAAACAGAAGAGCGGAACGGAGGTTCTTGCCAAATTTCGTCCAAGCTTACTTGCGCTGACAACTGATGATTATTTCTGTTTCTCGTAGTGTTCACAGTTTTGGACCCTGTACTCGAATTATTTCACCAACAAGTCGGAATTGTTCCTCAAGACAAAATAAAATGTTACAGCTGAGTTCGTAGAAAGTAAATTCAGCTTAGGCACGAATGGTGTAAACAAGCGCTCTTATATATATAATACTTCCTCTGTAGATAATGAAATTGTACACCGCAGTGGCGCTACCATCGTTCAAACGTAAAAGAGAAGTAGGAACGTAGGAGAAATCTAGATACTATTGGTCATCTATAATGCGTATATCACGCGTCGAAGCTTTTTCCTTGAATTGTGTCGCATATTTGTGTCAATTTGTGCACGAGTTGGAGTTATATGCGCGAACGAGTTATTTGTTCTTTGTTTTGTAAATGTGTTCTAGTGTATTTGAAACAAGAGTCACGTAAAAAGAATAAATACGTGAACAGAGTACGCCTGTTTGTTTGTAGCCGATTTGTGAACGTCTATAAAATTGTAAATCTTCTTTTATATAGTTTTATATACAATAGGAATAAACATATTTTTACATTGTCAGTGTAATCATTGTCGATTACGATTTTTTTCAAATATTAATAAAATATAAGTAAATCGAGTCGATCGATCATCGTCCCAGGTTTTGTACGTGGCAGTGTAAGCGAGACGAAGATTCAACCAATCATCGAAATCGAAACCAAAGGAAAAGCAGTGTTGGAAGCGGCAGAGAATTTCTACCAACACAGTACCTAGAATTTTGTTTTTCTTAAACGCACATCTCTCTCTTTTTCTACCTTTGCCCCCTCCTGTTTTCCCTCCCCCTTGTTTTAATGGTACCCGTGCCCCGTATCTGATAGCGTGCCACGATTAGTTCTAACATCAGTTTCGTTCTACGTTCATGAAACATTAAACACCAAGTGCTAAATAGCTAAGTGTCAACGTTCAAGCAGAATTAAGCCATTAAAAAAGACGTGCGTAGAAGTAGTGGGAGTTGACCATTTATGCAAGATTTATCGACGCTGCAAATTTTTCAAGTAACAACAATCGATAAGATGGGTCTGGGAAACAAGGTGTGTATATAATATCTACAATTCTAACAATTATGCTTGTGCCAACATGTGATTTTTAATGTTCTCTTTGCTGTTATTTTACACAATGTTCGAATTCGATGCTATAAAGGTCTAGATAACCTTTACATATAGGCAAAACCAACATTTCATACAATTACAAAGTCTTTTTCCCTTTCACAAACCTTTTTTATCGCGGCAAATTTTTTCACGTATCCATTGCATCAGCATTTGTCGAAATTCAATGACACACAGGACCGGTTTTATCTTTATCGTAGACTGTAGATAAATATAATCGCAGCACTGTGAATACATTATGCACGTCGAGATGTATGTAGTTAATAATTGAATTTTTCAATAAATGTATAACGAATAGGGAAACTATAGGAACTAACTAGGAAAACTTGAGATAAAATACGAAACTTTAAGAAACAAAACGGTGACATTATGTATTTTAGACTATTGATCGTAGACATATCAGCGATGTATCATTAAGGAGGTAAAACAGGTATTTAATCGATTTTGTAAGCGACTAAATAACTCGTAGACATCGTGCTTTTTTTTATCGATCATGTCCATATATCGTCATTGAATTGAAAACGGTGATTATTATAGTACAAATTTCGTATGTAAGCATCTTGTCGAATAATTATATAGCTGTTCGAAGTATAGATGCGGGTATGTAATAAGTCTAGCGTAGTCAACGTTTCTTTACGAGGCGATGGCTGTGACGGTCGTGAAGCGAGTGAGGAACGTTATGTCGAATTCTGGCGGTTGGTGTTACCAACGGGAAATAACATTTTAGCAATCGTTCATCATTGTGATCGCTCGATCTATTGATAAAGACGGGATGACTGTGATACGTTCTAATTATTTGTTGTCAATGCGTTTTATTATAAAGGTGCTTGAAATTATCTTCGAGAAGAAGGGGCTGAGAAGATTATCGTGATTGACCGTATTTAAAGAAAGAGATGGAAATACATGTGACAATTTGTTTCCGTAGATAAAGAAACGTGCATTCGAATTTAGTATTCGGCCTTCTACTATTTTCTTTCTCCTTTTTTCTTCCACATTTTTCTTCTCTGCCTTATAATACAACAGCTGGTCAGCTATATCGTAACATGATACGATCGTTCAAGTTAAATGGGATGGATTACTAATCATTTCTGTTCGACACATTACATTGGGTGATTCGCGCATTTCGAAGCGTTTTAGAATATTAAATTTGATCCCTAAATCTAGTACGATTGTCTACTATCGCTTATCTAGTATCACTATCAGGGTCACTGTGGTGCTTCTAACGAACAATAATTCCTTTTATCTTGAACTTTAACAGCTCACTGATTGCGTTCAATGATTATATAATCGAAAGGTGCTAATTGTAAGAAAAGTTTCCGAAAGCAGTTCTATCTGACGATTAAGCCGATTAAATTTACATCGATACGAGACACGATGCTGGCAACGATCATAACTATCATAACTACGTTATCATTATATTATTATAGTCGAGTACATTTTTTATTTGTAAAGAGAAATGAGAATAAAGGTACGTGTAGATGGCAAGATCGCAAACGACAGATAACTGTAACGTAGTAATAAACTTGTATTTAATTTCGTTAAGCTGAGACTTTTCGCGAAGTTTAACGTGTTTCTAAAATTGGTCGTGCTATTTGTCCCCTGTCTTACTACGCGCACGAAATGATCAAATATTTCCGCATAGATAGGTATTTCCGTTATTCATACACGCGTACACTTGTTTGTTTAACACGAAAAAAAGATTAATTGGAGAAATTACAATGAGTTGTCTATCTGTAGACCTGATATCGAATGTAATTTTTACTATGCTAACAATGAATAATTATTTAAAATACGAAGCAAGCCGATTCAGTTGGAAGCCGATGGAAAGTTGGAAAGTGAAATTGAAACGTTTGTTGTAACAATTGCTCGCTCGGTAAAATTTAGCATGCCGCATGGCGCCGTTTCGCGTCCCGTCCACCGATCAACTCGTGAAACAAGCTATTTAACACCATCGAATAACCCGTCTGCCGATATATGTATATCGTACGTATACATGAAAAGATGGAACGGTCGCGTAAAATATAGTATCTGTTTATCGATCCTGTTTCTTTTCCGCCTCGCGTGTTTAATACCAGATGTATGTATCTCGTATGTTGTGTCGGTCGCAGTGCAGCAGGAAGAAATGACCGCGTAGCAAGTACATAAGTACATACTCGCACGTAGGACGAAATATCGATCGTTATTTTCGCGCAAGTCTCGCAACGACCTGCACACCGTCGGTGATGGCAGTAATGATGCGATACACTTGCTCGATGCGTTTGCACATCCAGTTTTGTATCGCGACAATAGGAACGGATCCACCTGTTTCAGAATCGTGTCGCGCCTGCTGTATCCCATCGAAACGGCGCGTTTCACTAATTTAGATCTTCGAGGGGCGTGTTCCACCTTGGAAGGAGAACAACGGGAGAAAAAAGAAAAAGGACGATCCTTGTTGTGGGTACGGTGCAGTGATACGAGAAGAAACGACGTTAGAACGATTAGTAGATTCGTTCGGTCTTTGATTTTCATATTTAATGGCTAACGTTCGGTCGATCATACCAGAGCATTTATTCAAGGATAAACGAGATAAAGCGTAAAACAGGGGAACAGAGTTCCCCTAAACGTATGTTTACGTAAAATGTATATTTTACGTAGTAGGTGCATCGTTAATTGGTCAGTCCGCCGTGAAATGCTATTTATTAGACGTATTTCGAAATCGTTATTGTTAAGCATTCGTTGCATCGACTATAGACGATGATTCAGCTTTGTTCTGTCTCTTTTATATCAGATGTCCGAAGAGAATCCAGAGATGCGGGAAATGGCAGCGCGCATATGCCGCGATTACCTGCACGGAGTTTGGAAACACGTTACCGCGGAGAACATGACATTGAAACGTATCAGGTTAGTATTGACGTTGAATATATTACATTTCGCAGTATTCCACAGTATCACTTTCGACGACCGATCATACTCTTTCGATTCGCGTTTACTTTTCATTTCGCATTCTTCGATATCGACTTCTTAGTTGTCTGGTGTTTGCACGATTTCCTCTTGTAATCTACTCGCATGTACGATTCAAAGGGGAAAATCTGAGACAAAGGGAAGACTCTGACCGATCGTAAAGTAAAGCGTCAAGCAGATAATACGCTGTGCCGCAATCGTAAGCCAGACGAAACGTCGATCAACCGTTTCTCAAATCGAAACTGTGTTGCAGTTGCATATGTAGAATATGCATCTTTCCACAACACTACATAAGTATTACGCACAATATGTATATTGTATATTCGTGTTCGTTTCACAATATCAATAAATACGTGTATACATACACGTAATATAAATATACATATTGAAATATACATATTACGTGATAGTGTGCTAGTAACCTGTATTGTATGTGCTTGTGAGAAAATGTGTCGATCAGTGGTAAGAATGATTGGCGAAAGATGCGCATGATACGAATATTCTAAATACGAGGATATTATTCGATATTTTACAGCGGCGGATTAAGCAATTGGTTGTACAATGTCCAGTTACCCGATGGAACTGTTCCGATTCGAGGCGAACCACGACAAGTCTTATTGCGACTGTACGGTCAGATACACGGGGAAAGAGCTTTGGAAGGTCTGATCACCGAATCGGTCATATTCACGTTACTGTCGGAAAGACGACTCGGACCCAAGTTACACGGTATATTTCCCGGTGGTCGAATAGAAGAATACATACCGGCGAGACCGTTGCTTACCGATGAATTGGCGGATCCGATTTTAAGCTGCATGATTGCCGAAAAAATGGCCCAGATACATAGCATGCAGGTTCCGATAAGCAAAGAACCAACTTGGCTTTGGGATACTATGACCAAATGGTTGGACACGACCACCGACATATTAGAAAATATCGAGGACGTCGATGCTCGACATTTGAAAAACGTCAACGCGATACGAGCGATCGACCTAGATCACGAGATCAAGTGGTTCAGGTGAGGAAACGGGGGGAAGGAGAGGCTGCAGAATCGACGAAACGTAGTAGCAATTTAGTACACTGTAGTTTGTATTAACGGTAAGGAACCTATTTTTCAGATCTCTCGCAACCCGACATAAATATCCAGTTGTTTTTTGTCACAACGATATGCAAGAGGGTAATATATTGCTACGGCAAAATACACGGAAACCAGAACTAGTTCTTATCGACTTTGAATATTGCTCTTATAATTATCGAGCATTCGACATAGCAAATCATTTCGTGGAATGGCAGTACGATTATACAGCAGCGGAATATCCTTTCTTTCATGAACGCGCAGCATCTGGTCCTACAAAAGAGCAAAAGGTAAATGTTGGAGTATTTCATCTTTCGAAACATTTACAAAGAAAGAATCATGGTAAGATCGTCGCGTTTTCTTATCCTTCGTTCCGTCGTTCAACTTGTCTTGCGCCCTCATGGAGACGAACAAACGAATTACATACATACAAAATCCCCCCAGGGATCCCCTGTTACCGTTACCCCGCACTTGTTACATGATTACACAATTTTACTCCATCGGTCGATACATTTTTTAATCGGTTACATATACATACATATATCGATAGCGATACCTTGCAACTGCGTCCATTTGAACGATGACACATACATACTTAACGCATTTCAAAAAACAAACAGAAACCGAGAAATGTATTCGTTCGAAATTCTACGTCGACTTTGAACAATGATCGAATCAAATCGTAAAATATTCGTATGCATTGCGAAAGAAAGGACCGGTTCCATTTATAATTTTATAATTTTTTCCTCGCACCGTCGACAAATAACTAGAGTGAAAATAGAAGGCAATCGTGTTTTGTCAACCAAAATTGAGATTGACATAGACAAATAAAATTCCTTTTGTCCCATATTCGACTTCGCCGCCGTCGCCACTGCCACTGCCACTGCCACTGCCACTGCCACTGCCACTGCCACTGCCACTGCCACTGCCACTGCCACTGCCACTGCCACTGCCACTGCCACTGCCACTGCCACTGCCACTGCCACTGCCACTGCCACTGCCACTGCCACTGCCACTGCCACTGCCACTGCCACTGCCACTGCCACTGCCACTGCCACTGCCACTGCCACTGCCACTGCCACTGCCACTGCCACTGCCACTGCCACTGCCACTGCCACTGCCACTGCCACTGCCACTGCCACTGCCACTGCCACTGCCACTGCCACTGCCACTGCCACTGCCACTGCCACTGCCACTGCCACTGCCACTGCCACTGCCACTGCCACTGCCACTGCCACTGCCACTGCCACTGCCACTGCCACTGCCACTGCCACTGCCACTGCCACTGCCACTGCCACTGCCACTGCCACTGCCACTGCCACTGCCACTGCCACTGCCACTGCCACTGCCACTGCCACTGCCACTGCCACTGCCACTGCCACTGCCACTGCCACTGCCACTGCCACTGCCACTGCCACTGCCACTGCCACTGCCACTGCCACTGCCACTGCCACTGCCACTGCCACTGCCACTGCCACTGCCACTGCCACTGCCACTGCCACTGCCACTGCCACTGCCACTGCCACTGCCACTGCCACTGCCACTGCCACTGCCACTGCCACTGCCACTGCCACTGCCACTGCCACTGCCACTGCCACTGCCACTGCCACTGCCACTGCCACTGCCACTGCCACTGCCACTGCCACTGCCACTGCCACTGCCACTGCCACTGCCACTGCCACTGCCACTGCCACTGCCACTGCCACTGCCACTGCCACTGCCACTGCCACTGCCACTGCCACTGCCACTGCCACTGCCACTGCCACTGCCACTGCCACTGCCACTGCCACTGCCACTGCCACTGCCACTGCCACTGCCACTGCCACTGCCACTGCCACTGCCACTGCCACTGCCACTGCCACTGCCACTGCCACTGCCACTGCCACTGCCACTGCCACTGCCACTGCCACTGCCACTGCCACTGCCACTGCCACTGCCACTGCCACTGCCACTGCCACTGCCACTGCCACTGCCACTGCCACTGCCACTGCCACTGCCACTGCCACTGCCACTGCCACTGCCACTGCCACTGCCACTGCCACTGCCACTGCCACTGCCACTGCCACTGCCACTGCCACTGCCACTGCCACTGCCACTGCCACTGCCACTGCCACTGCCACTGCCACTGCCACTGCCACTGCCACTGCCACTGCCACTGCCACTGCCACTGCCACTGCCACTGCCACTGCCACTGCCACTGCCACTGCCACTGCCACTGCTACTGCCCACTGCCCACTGCCCACTGCCCACTGCCACTGCCACTATTACCATTGTTGTCGCCGCTGTCGCCGTCGTTCCACCCAATTCCCTTATTAACTTGTTTCTTCTTCTCTATCTTTTCCCCGCTTTTCCTTCATTATCTTTGAGGTTGACAAATTAAAAGCGCAAGACCAAGTTCGATCGTATGCGATGCATACGTATACCTATATCTACTCGGTCAAGCGAGTTCAAGAGTTATCGAGAGCAGATCGAGGAGCTGGTTGGCGTGTGTTGCGTGTGTATATATTAGTTTCACAGGACCACGATTCGGTGAGACAAGGCTGATGCCTGCCTGATCGGCTAATCGGAAATCGGAATAACGGGGATGGCAATATCGATCTGTGCCACTGCTATGCTATGGATCCCGTCTCGCACAGTACGTTGTGGAACCAGAACGACCGGTGCCATCACCCACCTTTGCAACATCAGTCCCGTACCTGCGCATCTACGACTCTAGAGTACTTCTACACGCACTCTCGATAGTCGATCCATAATCTACATTACTCGATAAATGTACAGTGTCTTATGGGTGGTAAAATCGCGTTATTTCCAATTAAGACACTTCTCTCACCGCATTTAAATATCCGTCTACCGTATTCAATTAGAGTGTCCCTATGAACGCATGTTTATTCCGATTGCAATTGACTCGATTTCTCAAACCGTTTAAATCTACGTACCACTTTCGAGCTACTTTTCACTGTAGATGTTTTCTCTTTACAGAAAAGCTTTTAAACTTTATCCTGTATTTCGGACATACATACATATATAAATGTATATATGTATACATATTTACATACGTATAGGTATATTTTTGGCTCGCGTATGTATATATGTCTATATATACATATATGTATACCACCTTCTATCTGTTCAAATTCATCTTTCAATTACTTTCGATAAACGATCGTATTGTACGTTTAGCAATTTTATATTCTTTGACAGCTCAACTTTATAAGAAGTTACTTAAGAACAGTCGGCAAAGAAGGATCACCGGAAGAGGAACGAATCATGATGGAAATCAAGATATTCTCTTTGGCTAGTCACTTATTTTGGGGTCTTTGGAGTATCGTCAACGCCAAATTATCAGAAATTCCATTTGGCTATTGGGTATGCTCACGACACGGTGTATCCGTATTTTATGCTTTTCTCTCGTTACTTTTATTCCAAACATTGTCTACATACACTTATCTACGTGCTCGTGCTCATTACCTTTGCTCTTTTGCCTATCTTCTCCAATCATTTCCTTCTATTTCCATTGTTGCAGGATTATGCAGTGTCTAGATTAAAAAATTACCAGTATTTAAAAGAGAAGATTATGGCTTCTGGAGGATCGCCGACGATAGACAACGATGATACTGCTGAAAAAATAACCGTAGATTGAACAAATCGAGCGCATGATCGTTACGACGAAGACTGTTTCCTTTCTGCAACGTAACGTGACAAATAAAAGTTTACCTACCATATTTTCATGCGCTCGTAATTACGTATCTTGTCAGAATCACGATTTACCGTTGTTTCGTGATACATGTTTGCGGTTTTCAACAAAAAGAAGAAAAGAGAAAAGAAGAGCGAAAGGAAAAAGCCGGAACAAAGCAAGATGTGAAAGCCAACGTGTAGACAAGTGGAAGAATGACGAGCAACGCATTGAACGCATGCACGCAAGTGGCCGAGACAGAGGCAACGCGAGAGAAGGAGAGAGTGAAGGGGGGGG